AGATCAAAGTGAGATTTTAAAAGTAGTGGGGTAAACAGAGAATCAAAAAAGAAACGCAAACCAAGGGTCATTCAGTTTCCACTTGGTACAAAGATTCAAAGCCACAATAAAATGGTAGAACCAATTGTGTCAAAGAAAATTAAAACGTAAAAAAAAAAAAGGACAACAATCCAAGGGACAGATCCTAATGGTCCCCTTTTGTGCTCCAAATACTATGTTTTCTTTTCCTTTTTTTCATACCGATACAACTCACAGGCTGACCCATTAACATAATGACTTCCTTTCACTAAATGCATATTTCCAAACCTCACAAATAAAAACAGATAAAAAAAAACAACAATAACTTGATTTCATACTTTCAAATAGAAAAGGAGAAACAGAAGAATGAATTGATCCTAAAGAGTAAAAGCCCATTTCCAGTGAAAACAAAAGAAGAGACCTTTGACAGAGAACACCTGAAAGATTCCAGCTTTCTTGATACTGGTTCTCGGCTTCTACTTCTTCAGCACTGTTTCTCAGACAAAAAAATGTATTTGTTTGTGGACTGGGTACTTGTGTTCTCTCAGTTTTAACCTGAAATTCAAATGGAGGGAAAAGTGGGGTGGACAAATGAATGACAATGATACACGGGTTGAACTAACCCAAAGACTTGGTAAGAGGGATTTCAAACAGAGGAAAAAAAGGAATCTTAGAACAGCTTCCAAAAACATATAATGTTGAAAATATTAGTATATATTTGTTTTGACCAATTCAATATTTTATAATAAATTTAAAATGAATATGTTTTGTGTCGTGTCTACTTGTGGGCGGAAGTTAGTGATTACTGATGAAGCTAGGTGATGCTTTTGTTGTGATCGTGGAAAATGGGAAAAATTTTGGACAATGTGATTAAACAAATTATTTTCTGATATAAGGTTGTCGTTACAGTACATGTCGGAGTAATTTGAATGACACTGCGTTTTCAGGAAGACGAATGAAGATAAGACATCTGGGAAAGTTTTATTATGCGACAGTGTTAATATATAATTAAAGAAAAATATAATTGATTTATTATTATTTTTTTAATAAAATTAATAAAAAATTATTTAAAATATTATATTTTATCTAAAATATTAATATTTTTTAATATTTTCGATAAAGTATCTAATAATAATAAAATCGATAAAAAAATAATGTTTTAAGTAGCACTTTACCGATTATGTTAATAAAACTGATAAAACGTCCAATAATAACAAAATTAATAAAAAATAATAATATTTTCGATAAATTTTATCAATTTTATTAAAAAATAATAATAAAATCAATAACGTATTTTTTTAGTCGTATTTTAAGGCTGATCAACGTTAGACTTTCCTAATGTAATGTAATAAACTTTTACAAAGAAGTTGTGTGGTCCAAACATCTACTTGAAGATGTCATGTCATTGGACAACCTCTACATGCATTTTCACAATCACGTTACCTGACAAAATAATTTATGTAAATCCTAAATGGAAACTTTTTCCATCACAATATGTGAGCAATTTTATCGTGAAAAATAAGTTAAAACATAAATTCTGAAATATTACTTGTTAATATAAAGTTAAACAATGATAGAGATCAGTTACAATTGAAAATCTTATAAAGACTATAATTTTTTAAGTTGTTAAAGTAACATTTTCAGGTGTAATTTTTTATTGTAAGCCAAAGTCGTCTATAAATAACTTTTCAGTTACAATTGAAAATGTTATAAATTTATATATTATTTTAAATTAAATATGATAAAATTTTAAATTAAAATCATCTTAAATTGACTTTAAATTAAATAATCAAACAAAAGAACTATCATAAAAAATCATATTTATATAATTTATATTTTGAAAATTTTGAGAGATACTCTATTCCATTTGTAAGAAATCATGGAGATTGTGACTTTTTGTAAGGTTGTGAATTTATGGTTATGATGATATTTCTAGGGGAAATAAAATTTGATTTTATTCGAAAAATTATTTTTTTAATTTTGAGTTATTTGATTTAAATATTCGAGTAATTCAAATTATCAATTTGATTTTTGAGTTCGATTCGAGTTCAATCTTGAAATTTCAAGTTACTTAAAAAATAAAAATTTAATTAAGTATTTTGACAGATTTACAATTTAATCATTAATTTCATTATTCCCTCATTTCTCCTTCATTTTAAGTTAAATTTTACCAAATTTTAAAAACATGTTTCTAAAACATTGTAGAATACATATGTACTTTTATTCTCTCTTTTGATAACAAGTTTTAAATTTTTCAATTTAGTCCCTTAATTTTTCATAATTTCCTTATTTCTTCTTTTTGTATATTTTAAGTTCGTTTTTCACCAAATTTGAATCGCATGCTCATATACCACTATAGAATACCTATGTAACTTCAATTCTTATTTTTTACTAAAAATGGACTCTCTTTTTATTTAGTCCCTAACTTTGCATTTTACTCAATTTGATCTTTTGATTGCAATTGTTTGCAAATTCTTTCTTCTCATCAATTCCTTGACTCCTTTATAATCTCATCATATTTTTACCCTCAAAATACTTTCTTTAAAATATAATATATGAATATATTTTATAATTTTAGATTGTATTTGATATATTAAATAATATTATAATGTGAAAAGAATATAAAATATATCTTACATGGTTAGAGAAAGTCGAAAAAATTAGAACCAATCTTTCATAATACTATAAATAATTATAATAAAATTAGTATATAAACTCAAGTTCTTAAACTCGACTCAACTAGAAAAAAATTCAAGTTAAGTTCGAGTTATAAAATGCGACTCGTCAACTAGAATAACTAGAAATTTTTTGACTCGACCGAATGCTCACCCTAATGTTGTCTTTCTCATTTTTTTTGGTAAAGTACACAAATGGTTCCTTGATATTAGGGTATTACTTTGTGAGTCTTCTGACTATTAAAAGTTACAAAATGATCTCAGACTATAAAGAGTTACTTTGTTAAGTCCCTTGACCATTAAAAGTTACAAAAATGGTCATCCGACTATTCATTATGTTCCAAATTTCTTTTAGCCGTTAAAAAGTTAACGACAATTTGAATTGGACGTTAACTTACTGACTGAGATATTACAAAATATGATCTCATAATCTCAAACAACTATTATATCTCAGTCAGCATGTTAACGTCCAACTCAAAAGACTATTAAGTTTTTAATTAAAAAATGACAAGTTTGTAACATAATGAACAATCGAGTGATCATTTGTAACTTCTAATAGTCGAGGGACTCAACAAAGTAACTCCTTATAGTCAGATGACTATTTGTAACTTCTAATAGCCAAAGAATCAATAAAGTAGTATCCTATAGACGATAGATCATTGCATACTTTAGCCTTTTATTACGATGGTCGTGTGAAGTAATGCTTTATAATTTTGGGTTAAGTACACAAATGATCCTTCTATTATAGGACATTACTTTGTTGAGTCCATCTGGTACCCCTCGATTATAGAACATTGCTTTGTTGAATCCCTCGACTATTAAAAATATAAAATGGTCACGACTATTTATATGTTCCAAACTCGTCATTTTCCTAAAAAAATTGATGGTCGTTTGAGTTAGATGTTAACATGTGATTGAGATATAATAGTCATTGAGATTCTGTGATTAGATTTTATCATATCCCGGTAAGCAAGTTAACATCCAATTCATACTGCATCTATTTTTTAACAGTAAATAACAAGTTTTAAAATATGAATAGTCGGATGACTATTTTGTAACATTTCACAGCCAAGAGACTCAAGAAAGCAACGCACTATAATTGACTGATCATTTGTAACTTTAATGTTGAGGGACTCAACAAAGCAATGTTCTATAGTTGAAGGACCATTTGTGTACTTACCCTATAATTTTCTAATATAAATTATATTTTATAAAATTAATATAATATATAATTGATGTTATTAATTTAATATATTACATATAATTTATTTCATTTGTAACATAAATTATAAATCCGGTTCTTCTTTTCCAAATGCCATAGATACACTTGAAGCGAATCTAAATTCAAGGTCTCTCACACTGCATTAATGGATATACAAAAGCAGGAGGTGATTTATAACCTGATGCAATAATACAAGGAAATCATGACTTGAATTGAGTGAAGCTGTTATAGCACAGGATTTTCCACCACAGCCTCATCTGTGGCCAACTGGCTTGTCATCAAAGCGGAACCTTTTCGGACTCGGTTTGGGTTTACAATCATCGACAACGGTAGCATTTTGCTGTGACGGTAAAGATGAAGATGTTATCGGTATAGATCTGAATGTTGGGAAGGTGAGACAATAGCAGATGGAAAAAAAGGTTGCTGCAACTCCGAGTTTTGGCTCGGATAGCTGGTTTCCACAAGCTTAGAAAAGGAAAAGGCACTTCCGGCCTTCTGTTGCTCTTCCAAAATCTTCTGCAAATACCTCGCATGTTTCTCGATGCGTAACTGAAGCGACTTTGTAGTATGCAATTGAAAAGAGCATACATGAACAAAGACAATCAATCTTAAAATGATTTCACTATGAACATAATAAATACCTCAAGTTGTCATGTAATGTTTCTGTACTTCCATTTGATTTGCAGAGCTTCAGAGATAAGATTGCCCCTAGAACTGAAAAGAACGAAGAGAAACATTTTACCCTGTCTTGTACAAGTAAACCAGAAAGTAGAAACTACACATTAGAGAAAATAAAACAATAATTTACCCATTATTTTTCTTTCCATCACTTATGCTTGAAGCTTCTTTCTTTTCTTCAGAGCTGAGAGTCTTCTTCTCTGAGAATCTCCCAAGGCACAATCATGTCAAAGGCTTTGTGGAACATGTTTATTACAAAGAAATTGAACAGCGGAAACACAAGGACAAGTAATGTATCCATTACCTTCTTCTTCTCAGGCATATTTGGCAAGTCGATATTTCTATAAAGGTAAAACATGATAATAAGATGTAGGGCCAATATTAGTAGTAAATAAAAAAGAACATGTGCTTCATCATATTATAGAATTGTTCAAGTACTTGTAAGTGGCTCTTCACATGGTAGATAGTCAAACCTTCAACATTCATAAGCTTTAATACACCCTTTGGGGTTGCATCTGCATCATGTAATGTAATCAGCTTTTCCTACTGCTTTCTTGGATATGTTTATTTTGAGAATATAATAAATTGCATAACCTTCTTACTTTCGGGTCCATCGAGCTTGCTGACAGCCTTTAGAAAACTCGTGCAGTCAGGAGTCCATCGCATTGTCGGCTTGTGAACGGCTGCTGGATCAGACGGAGCATGACTTGCAGGACCATCAATACATGTTGCAGAAGAGATTTTGGTTTGTTAACCTACAGTTGGCTTTGATGAAGGCTGAGGTGTTTCGTATATTTCCGAACATACATCAGTATTTAAAGCAAGAACGGTGAGATTAAAGAGTAAACGATTGTGTTTTGTTTCTCCAGTTTCGTCTCAGATCATCGTAATTACTATCAACAATTTGATATTATCAAGATGTAACTTACTTACCTCAACTCTGGGATTTTCTCCATGGTCATTGATAGCTATGTCGAGTTCATCGGATAAGAAATGAAGCTACTTGTTCGGTGAGGGTGAAGTTATCATTTTCACAATGCATACCATGAAAGCAACCATCACAAGCATCCCCAGGGATATTAAGGAAGTCCATAATAACTTCTGAGTGGTCCTCATTATATGGATTGTTCAAATCCTCACTAAAAACCACGGGAGATTTTGATGAATCGCCTGAGAAATGAAGGTGGCATGTGGGAGGATGTGGAAGAAAAGGAAAACTTCCAAGCTGTAGCTGGTTTCCGACGTCGATGAAGCTGACAAATAAACTGGAACAGACTCAGAAGAACGTGAAAATCCACTCTAGCAACAGAACTTTTAGAGCTGGGGCTACTCGAACCAGAGTTAGAATTATTCTTTTCAAGTGGAAATGGAGAGGAACAATCACAGCCAACCAAGATCGACATCTAAGTCGACTCTCTGAAAATTATGAATTGGGGATACTGCAATAGGATATGGCTCTTCAATTCCCTTGATAGGTTCGCTTTGAGTAACAGTTACTGCAATAGTATTGGATGATATCCCAACCTTCATCTTGTTCCCAGATGGACAGATACCTGAATATTGTCGAAATGTAGTGTCAATAATGAGAAACAAAGATCTTCAATAGCAGTGCAGTGATCTAATCTCAAGGCTATTTCAAGACTAAGCTCATACAAAGTTAAATGTGCCACCACAAGAGTCAGATAAGGGCATGTCTATGAAAGGATTGCACTTTTTGTCACCGAATTTGAATTCTTCAGATGATTATATCTGCAAACCGAGTCTGTTGCAGTGATCAGTAAATTAAAGAGGAAAAGATTAAAGTAACAAAACAACCTCTAACATGACCAGATAATTACTAAAGAACACAAATGAAATCTAGAATAACCAGATAATTATTAAAGAACAATAGTGAAACCTGAGCAGTAAAAGCACTAGATGTCTTATTGACCGCTATAGGCTGGCTTTCTTGGCAAACAGGGAAAGCTTCGAAGCACTAAAATGCCTGAATGATGCATGTAGATGTTTTTCATTTAACAGCAACAATACAATAAGATTAACTAACATTACAAGCATCTTAAGCAAAAAGGGTCACACAAAAAATCAACACCGTAAAGCTTAAAAACGTCACATGTTTAAGAAAAAATTCTTCATTTCATAAAGTTTAAATATGTAATTTCTTTTAAGTAGTTAAACAGACACAGAGTCAAGCAGAGTGACAGAGATGGGGAGGATGGAATTCATGTCTCCAAGGGTCCAACAGATCGAAGTTTTTTCAGTTGAAAGTTGACACAAAAAAATAGCTTTTTCGTTGAAAGTTGACACAAAAAAATAGCTTTTTCGAAACCTCAAAGCCAAGAGGAAAGAAAAACACCTGCATTCTAATATCAAATTAACTCAACATAATCACAACTTAAAAGCATCAGTTCTCTTCATAAATTAGAATTGCAGTAAGAAAAATAGGTGCGCTGTGGATTCAGTTACATTCCTGGTTACTATATGTGGACACCCGTTTTTGTCCGGGTTTTTTTTTTACCGTTATTTTATTATATTATTATTATCGTTTTTTTATATAAATTAATTACATGTATTTTTGCAGGCCAAATTAAGGCCTGATTACAATTGCCCAGAGACCGGGAGCCCAACACCCATCAGATTAGGGTTTCAAACCCTAAATCAGTTTAGGGTTTCAAACCCTAAATCAGTTAGGGTTTCAAATCCTAAATCAGTTTAGGGTTTCAAACCCTAAATCAGTTTAGGGTTTCAAACCCTAAATCAGTTTAGGGTTTCAAACCCTAAATCAGTTTAGGGTTTCAAACCCTAAATCAGTTTAGGGTTTCAAACCCTAATCCCCTAACTACACAGCCGCCGCCAAGCCAGAATCCAATCCCTCAGCCGCACGTTGATCTTCACCAGTCATGCCTGAGCGCGTGAGCAACCGTGAGCCAATCACCGAGCCACCAAGCCGAGGTGTCCCGTCGCCGCCGACTGCTCTCCTGCATGAACAGTGACCCAATCAAATAACAGTGGCCTAACTTACCCCAAATCTAAAAAAAACCCATTAGAATAGCATCCTAAAATCCCGAAAAATCTGGATTTTATTCACCCAATCAGAGAAATCAAATCCTATCTACCTAGATATCATCATCATCTCACCAGGAATCCAGAGAAAGCAAAGAAAAGAAGCCAGGGAAACGAAAGAAAAAAGAAAAAAAAAACCAGAGGAGACAGAGGGAAATTCGAAACAAAAAAAAAAACAGAAGAAAAAGGGGAGAAAAGAAAAAAGTTTTACCTTTCTAACCCCACCGTGGATCTCTCTGTGACTTCTCCGATCCCAGCTAGCCCCATTTCTGAAGGTAAAGCCTTTGTTTTTTCTGGTTTTGGGGGGAAGTCCGGTTCGGGTGGTAAGTTGTGGGTTTGGGTTCTAGAGGTTGGGTTTTCAAAGGAGAGGTCGTTAGTGGGGGATAGTTGATCGGTTTAGGTTTAGTGGCCACTGATTAGCGGTGGCAGGAGGCTTGGTCGCCCCATGGCGGTGAGCCGAGGGAGAGTTCTCTCCCACGGGTTTGGGTCTGCGGCTCAGTTTAGGTCCCTGCAGCTTTGTAATGGTTGTAATCTTGCCACTTTAATGAAATTCCATCATTTCATTTGAGCTTTTATTTTATTTTTGTTACATTTTCGTCATTATTTGCTATAAACATTTTTTGGGTTATATTTGTGCTTCAGCCATCAAATTAATTTTTATACATGTGCAGTATGTTTATTGTTGGTTCATTTTAGTCACTATTTACTATGTAAAGAAATACATGTTTTATTCATGTTTATAATCCATGTATTTTGATTCTGAATGCATTTTGATCACTACTTTTATATATTGGGTTAAATGCTGAATATGGCTTGCTTGTTTTACTTTCATTTTATTTTAGTCCTTAATAATATTGTTGAGTTATTTTGGTTCTAGTATTTGTATTTTTAATGTTTTATTTGGGTTCTGTTTGTTTTGTAATGCTGTTTAGTCCTTTAGTTTCTGTTTTTGGCATTTTGGTCCTTTAACTTTCTGTTATTGATTTTAGTATTTTAAATTCCTGTTTTGATGTTTAGCCCTTGAAGATTCTGTTTTTACTGTTTTAGTTCCCAAAATTCTTTTGTTTTTATTATTATTTTGGTTTCTAAAGTTCTTGTATCTATTTGGTTCTTTAATTTCCTTTATTTTTGCAGTTGGTCCCTAATATTTTTTTGTCATTTTAGCTCTTTTAATTTCCGTTAATTATATTTTATTGCCTTTAATGATTTATTTTGGTATTTTATTTGGTTTGTAATATTAGTGTTTGCTTTTCAATCCTTTATACATGTATAGTAAATGTTTTATTTAATATTGTAAATATTTTATGTGTCATTTGCGATCATATTTGTTTCTATTTTATTTCCTTAGTTGTTAATTTCATTCAAATATTTTTCAAGAACATGAATTTGTAGAACGGGCGTGGAAAGTATCACTGGATCGAGGTGGTACAATCCGATACGACGTTCAAGCTGAATAAATAAAAATGCAAATTTTTCCTTTTACAAGCTTATAGAATTATTTTTTATTGTTATTTTTTTTTGATGTTCATATTGTTTGATATTTAAATTTTAATCTTTATTATTATTTCTTCATTGAATTAATATGAGTGATGTATGTTTTGGAAAAATAAATATGATGTATTTTATGTCAATTTTCGTATTTTTTAAAAAAAAAAATATTCTTTACAAGTAAGAAATAGACGAGGTAGCTTTCCCGGCGGAGGATTGCAAATCTCGGGATTTCTTATGAGAAAAGGATTTTTTATTTTTTAACTAATATTCAATAAATAGATCATAATTTATTTATTATTATATTTTCATAATTTTTATTGTATAATGGTTGTTATGTTAATATTAACGATACATAAATTAAACATATTTTATTTTCTACTCATGACGATGTTATTTAGTGGTAATTCAAAGATAGGATATACTTTATAGATAAGAAATAGATGAGATAGCTTTCCCGTTGGAGGATTGCAAATCTTGAGATTTCTTACCAAGTGAAGTATTTCTATTATTTTAACAAATATTCAATAAATAGATCATATTTTTTACTAAATTCGAAATTATAATTTCCATTTACGACGATGAGTAAGCTACACAGTACCAATTTTGGGCGTGTGGGGGTGTTTACCCTTCCCCACACGTAACCGACTCCCGAACCTTTTAAATGAATCTTTGGTAACGTAGACCAAATTTTTGTCTTATAAAATTATTTTTCTTAAAATTTTTTAAAAGACGTTTTTAGGTATTTGACTACCTAATCCAAAGGTCGATGGCGACTCGAAATTTAATCCAAATTAATCCAAAATACTCAATTTTTCAAAATAAAAGTCATAATTGTTTTTTAAAAAAAATACTTAATTGTTTTTAAAAAAAATGGTTATGATAGCTTGGCGACTCTGCTGGGGACGTCTAGAGAGTCAGGCTGTCGGTTGCTTATATATGGTCGTTATGGTGGAAATTATAAGTTCGAATCTTTAGTAAACTATGATCTATTTATTGAATTTTTATGTATTATTTATCTCTTTATTATATAACATTTTAATTGTTTTCATTTTTTCAGATTTTTAGTTCTCGTTGAGTGTTTTTTTCCTGTTTTTGAGTCAAAGGTTTGTTTGTTTCTCACACACATCACTTTCATTAGCATAACATGAGCTCTAGACATGAGTTTCGATCCAAATTAGTTAGGGTAATTGCTTTACTCTCGTAAGAATTATTCTTCGTATGAGTTTTAGCAAATAACCCATGGGATACATACCTTATACCTTCGTAGGAATTTATTCCTCGTCTGGGTATAAGGCAGTGAATCCCTCGAATTGAACTCGGTCCGTTTGAAACCTGTAATGGGTGAGGATTGAGGGTTTGGTAGCCAAGGGGGCACTGACATCAATGACGATTCGAGTTCCTTTTTTTCCTGTTAGAGCTGAAACCATGCATATAGTGAACCATAGAACGGTCACACTAGGTAGATCATACTGAACCTCTGTCCGTCAATAGGTACCCAAAATAGGCGTACACAATGGAGAAACCCTCTAACCTTTTTATTTATTTATTTATTTTTGTGTGTAGAATAGATTTATTCTTTAAAGCATGTGAAATAGAATTTAGGTGCAGTTAGAATTTAATTAATTTAGGAGGGTAGAGAGCATGTTGGGTAGGACCCTTTTTGAGGAATATTATTCGGGTAGATAATACATAAAAAATAGATTTATTTCCTGTTTTATATATCTTTTATGTTAAATTTATACAATTGTTTTGACTAACTGTTTTGTTTGTTTTGTTTATTTTTTTCATACTGCATAGACATATCATTAGAAAAGGCGATTGATCTGTGAGTATCGATAAAGTGGAAAGACTTTCACGATGGAAAGGAGTTTCTAAACAAAGAAGTGAATCCAGCAGATGTAAGAACTGGTCCGAAGCCAAGCAGAAAGAGCAGGGAGATAGTCTATCAGGGAACTACGTGTCGGATCTGTCTGATTATACACCAGCTTCTTTAAAACAGAATGAGCTTCAGGGATTGAAAACAATTTGGGAAAGTTGGAATCTTATTGAGAGGCAAGCTTTTCAGCAGACTTATGGGGATATTTCATCTGATATACGTGAAGGTAGACCCGTTCTCATACGATGCATAATAACAGTTTTGGAATCCGGCCTATAGTTGTTTCACATTCAACCGAGAGGACATGACTCCAACCCTCGCGGAATACCAATTTCTGTTGAATTTGACAAGCGTTAAAGTAGACAAAGTTACTGATCGATAAAAGGGCCTTCTTTAAGTCAAAGCTTGCAAAGATCTCGGGCACAAGCGACAAATGGGTAAATGATCGCTTGCAACGCAAGGGAGAAAGTGGGAGTGCCGTGGTCTCACTTACAAAAGATAGCTGAAGCATGTAGATGAAAACGTGCGTAGAGATGATTTGCTTTGGGTATATATGGTTTGGTAATCTTTCCAAAATGTTTGGGATTGATCGAGCTAGCAGTAGTCGATTTGGTTGAGAAGTTAGGAAGAGAGATGAATCCAGTCCATGCAATTCTTGCTGAAACTTTCCGATCTTTGAATATATGTAGAAGGTTGGGGGGAGGTCGTTTTATGGGTTGTGCTCAATTGCTTACTGTGTGGATCAGAAGCCATTTCTGGAAGGAAGAAAAGTCAACTATAACCGTTTTTTGAAAGATTATTCTCCTGTCGCTGAGTACCTTACGAAGGAGTGGCCTGAAGTATCTCAGAAAGATCAATGGATTGATTTCTTCCGGAATCTACAAAGTCAAAACATAGCATGGCGAACACCGTGGCTGATGCATACACAAATCTTGTTCAAGTGCGGAGATTTGGACTGGATCATATTACTGGGACTGTGGGGAGGAGTGGGATACGCTCCTTTGTTTGAGACAGTACGGTGCCCGACAGTTTGTTCCCGTGACTCATGGGTTGACTGGTGCTGAATTTGATTATAAGAAGGCAATTATAGAAAGAAAATCAAAGATGTGGCTGATTCCTGGAGGATGACTTTTAGGACTAAAGTAATTGGAGCGGATGTTATCTTGACGCCTGATTATGAAGCCTGGAGAATCAGGAGGGTAAATGATAAGATACCTTTAACATCTGGAGAGGGATCAAGGTCGATAGAAGAACAAATCAGAAATATCCCTTCGAATTTGGAAATCCAAAGAATTGAGTTTGAAATGGAAAAGGCTAAAGATTCCAAGAAAATAGAAGAGATGGAGAGAGAAACTTCATGTTGACTATGAGGCTGAATTTCATGCCAGACAATTTATAATGAGAGAACGGAAAGAGGAGGTGGAAGCCGATTTAGAAGAATTAAAAAAAGATTATCAAAGGGTGCAGCAAGTGAGAAAGAAACTGGATCCAGAGAATTAGCGGCTGCAAGACGTCGAATCAAAAGTCTGGAAATTGAGAACAAGTGTCAGATCAAAATAGAAGCTGGAAAAGCAAAAGTATGCGAGCTAGAGGCCGATAAAAAGGAATTGATCAAGCAGTATAAAGCTGAGGCTCGTAGAGCTCAAAAACTCAATGAAGAAAAAGAAGTCAGCCTGAAAGAATTAGAAGAAGAAAAGAATCAAGTCCATGGGTTAAAAACTGAGATGAACAGTATAATTGAGGACTTTGAGGACAAAGATCGAAGAATTTTAGAGCTCGAAGAAGAAAGAAAGCAAAAGAAAGAAGAGATGTGGTCTGAGAGACAGGGATGGAATCGATTCCTCGATAGAAAGCAAGCAGAGATTGGATCGTGGATGCAGAGATTCTCGACAAAAAGTCAGCAAGTAGATGAGCTCACGGAGAAATGGGAGAATTACAGATGAGATTCGAACATGAGATGAACCAATCTCGAACTATGAATGATGAGCTCAAAAGTCATGTATCGAACCTTGAGCAATCCCTTCTGCAAGTGCAAGTTCCTCCCGCTTCAGTGGACCTAAGAGTTGCTCTCGAAGAAAACAAATCCTTCCAGAAGGAAATCAGAGAATTGAAAGGTGAACTCCAGAAATGTCGAATTCATATTACCAATCTAGAAAAAGAGATCAAACGCATCAATAAGGGATGGGAAAATACATATGAGCACTATCGATCCTTGGTAGAAGAACGCGAGCGCATGGGGGAAGCTATTGCTCAAATGGGTGAAGTGGCTCGGTACATGAATGAATTAGCCAATAGAGCGGAGATCATCCAACTGCGCACAAATCGTTTCTGAATATACAAGGGAGATCATCGCCGTTATGAATGAAATTGTAGAGCTGAGTCTGAGGGCTAGGCCTTATATGTAATAGAACTCCTTTGTAATGAGTGAAACTTTTTATCCAATGAAAGTATTTCCGAATGGTTACTGCTTGGGTCAACGCCTTTTATTTGCATTTCATACTTGCATCATTCATTATGCATAAGTATATTCATCATTTATAATGCATCACCAATAAAATGTACCATTTATAGCACATTACCAATAATATGCATTCGAATTTAAAAGAACAATAAAATTAATTTCCGAAGGGTTATGTGACAGACGATTCTGGCAAGTAAGAACTCCAATCCTTATCACACGCGAAGTAGAGCCATGGAGGCCAAGCTTGATCAATTAAAGAAAGAAATGCAAGAATATTTGCTAAGAATACAACAAGAATGGCAGGCAAAGATGGATCAGTCACAAAAGTCAATTATAGATCAAATCCTGCAAGCCAGGCTAATATGATGAATGAGATGATGACCAAGATGTCTGGGTTACGTACTGAAACAGTTAAAGAACCAAGCGCTGCCCTGTTGAAGTTTCTAGGCAGGAGTCTACCCCGAGACTAGTTATCTCACCTGAAAAGCTAGTGGAACATCCTGCAGGGTCTTCAGCTGTAAAGGTTCAAATGGCCACGACTAACCCTCAAAACAGTCCTTATGAGTATATTGATGTAGATCCTGAGGAAATGGAGAAACCTAAAACGGAAGTACCAGAGCATTTAAAAGATTGGTGCAAAGGGTTTTTTAAAGAAATGGGAAAGCAGGGTTCTCAAGACGGAATGAATGCAGAGGAATTGAGTCTTGTGCCAGACCTAGTATTACCACCAAAGTTCAAATGCCGGAATTTGAAAAGTATGATGGAAAAACTTGTCATGTTGCTCACTTGACCATGTTTTGTCGAAGAATGACAGGATTCGTGAAGGATGATGGGCTATTAATTCACTGTTTCCAGGCCAGCTTGACGGGGTCAGCTGTTAGATGGTATAACCAATTAACCCGAGCTAAAATAGGGTCTTGGAAGGATTTGGCCAATGCGTTTAAAGAACATATCAACACGTTACCGATATGATGCCTGATCGTGTCACTCTCCAAAATATGGAGATGAAGCATAATGAGACCTTCCGACAGTACGCTCAGTGCTGGAGGGATATTGCTGCTCAAGTGCACCACCACTTATTGAGAGGGAGTTTATAACCATGTTTATAGATACGTTAAAATCTCCTTATATTGATCATATTAGGAGTGGCAACTAAGAGCTTCTCTGATATCGTGATGTGCGGAGAGATGATTGAGAGAGCATTAAAGAAGGGGCAGATTGTCGGTAGCCAAACTTCTGTAAAGAAACCCTATGTGAAAAGGAAAGAAGGAGAAGTGAATAATATAAATTTCTCTGTGAGTAAGCCGAAGATGGGAAATTCTCTTCATCCCAAGGAGAGACTAAGCGCGAGCATAACAATGAAAGGATGACGTTCACTCCCATACCAATGACTTACAGCGAGCTCTTCCATGGATTAGTCCAAGCTCACGTAGTGTCACCAAAATTCATTGATCCAATTAAACCACCTTATCCAAAATGGTTCAACGAAAATGAGACATGCGAATATCATGCAAATCTCAGAGGACATAACATTGAAAAGTGTCTCGCTTTTAAAAGAGTGGTGGAGGATCTGATCAAGAGAAAGGTGGTGTCCTTTAATGACTCTGAAGCACCATGTGTTGCTGCAAACCCGCTTCCAAATCATCAGAATCAGGGAGAACGTTATTGAGGAAAATCAGAGTTAAAAGGAGAATTGAAGAAATAAAAACACCACTGAAGTTGGTATATGCTCAAATAAAGGAGAGAGGGTTGTTGAGCCCTAGAAATGAATGCTCAATGGAAAAAACAGAGAACTTTGTGAATACCATGGTGAAAATGGTCATCAGATTCAGGACTGTCAAGAATTCAGGCAAATAGTCCAAGAATTAATGAACAAGCAGGAGTTGCAGTTCTATGAAGAAAGAATGAGTGAGAATGAAAGATATATCTGCGCTTCTGAAGAAAATTCAAGGGAAGCTGAAAAGTTTAAAAAAGCCTGTCCTGGTCATATCGAAGCCAAATTACGAGGCCAGCAGTGGAAGTATAACATCTAGGGTGGTGATCAAAACCCCTGCGCCTTTTGCCTACAAGAGTAACAAGAGTGTTCCCTGGGACTATACATGCCAAATTAATACTCCTGAGAGTAAGGAGGAAGAGGTTGCTGAAGTTGGATTTTTCACCAGGAGTGGAAGATGCTATGCTCCTGGAAAGGCTGATAAAGCAAGAGATGTGGTTATTAAAGATCCTGATGATAAATTGAATGAGCCTGTTAAGATTGAGGAGGCTCAGGAATTTTAAAGTTTCTGAAACACAGCGAGTATAATATTGTGGAACAGCTTCATAAGACCCCAGCGCGGATTTCAATGTTATCTCTACTGTTGCATTCGGAAGTACATCGAAATACTCTGATCAAAGTGCTGAATGAAACTTTTGTAGGGAAGGATATACCAGTGGAACGGGTGGACAGGATGGTAAATCATATTAATGCAGATAATTTTATTTATTTTTATGATGACGAATACCTGAAGAAGGAAAAGGCAGGGGCAAGGCTTTACACATTACGGCTCATTGCAAAGGAGTATCGTCTCAGGTGTATTAATTGACAACGGATCGGCCTTGAATGTTATGCCATTCGCCACTCTAAATAGACTTCCTGTGGATGTATCACAAATGAGGGTTTGTAGCAATGCTGTAAGGGCATTTGATGGGACGGAACGCAAGATAATGGGGAAGATGATTATCCCTCTCAGAATTGGCCCTACAACATTTGAAGTAGATTTTGTTGTCATGGATATTCATCCGAGTTATAGTTGCTTGCTAGGGAGACCCTGGATTCACATGGCTGGGGCAGTTCCTTCCTCCCTTCACCAAAAGCTCCGATTCATTGTTGATGGGACTCTGGTGACCATCAAAGCGGAAGAAGATATCATTGCCTCTATCACTACAGATGCACCATATGTAGGGGTAGATGAAAATGCACTAGAGTCCTCCTTCCAGTCCTTGGAATTTGTTAATGCTACTTTTATTTCTGAAGGCAAAAGAATTCCCATTCCTCATCTTTCAAAAAATACAAAGATGCAATTAAAGGAGACCTTAGCTAGAGGAGCAAAGGTAGGGAAAGGCTTGGGAAAGAAATTGCAAGGAATCTGAAGGGTCGGCTCCAGTTCCTAAAAGAAATTATTTTGGTCTCGGATACAAACCAACGTACCATGATAAAGTCAAGGATGCACAAAAGCTTAAGGAAAGTAGGAAGGCAAGAGTAAAGGGAGAAGATCTTGTTTGGGGACCCATGGTCATTCCACCACTCTCCAAATCTTTTGTGTCTGGAGG